CCTGGCCTCCTGGACCCTGAGCCTGTCTGTGACTCTTGTGTTAGGAGTGACTGGGGAACTGGCCATGTCGCCTCTGTCATCTGCTGGTTTTCAGGAACCTGAGGACCCCATCCCTCCCAGGGGTAAATACTCAAGGCAGCCCCTTGGAGCCGGGTGAGAGGGCGCTCTGGCCCCAGAGCTCAGGCCTGGCCCCCGCGTTCCCCTTCGTCCCTCCCCAGTGGGTCTCAGAGGCTGGGCTGTGATTTCAGGAGGCCCTGGCCAGGCCAAGTTTGGAGCAGGGGACTGACCCATGGGCCTACCCCACGGACCTACCCCACCTGATCGTGGGGGACTTGGTGAAGTCACATGCACTGCTGGGCAAAAGAAAATTAGGATTTGGGGCACTTGGGAGGGTTTAGAGGGCAATACCAGAGGCTGAGCAGGGAGCCAGGTGGACCGGGTGGCCGCAGGGCTGCTGAATGCTGAGCCCACATGGGACTCTTCGCTCCCATTCCTGCTAAGGCCCTGTACCCTGGGGCCCCTTTTGGATTTTTAGTGTGTGACTGATTTAGCAAAAAAAAATTTACCTAGTGTTTCTGATGTGTCGGGCACTGTTCTAGGTCCTCTACAAATATGAGCTCTTAATCCTATCGAGTGGGGGGACCTGCCCCACTGTACAGATGAGGAAAGTGAGGCGAGAGGTTCAGAGACCTGCCTGGGGTTGCAGAGTGGCTGAGCCGGGGTTCAGACCAGCTCATTCATGCAGCAAGGGCTTCCAGGTGGGGCCTGCTGTCCCAGGGTCCTGGGCAAGGTCTCTGGGGCACTGGCACCTGCACCATGGTGGAAGGCAGAGCGGACTCCTGACAGCTGGAAAAGGGCAGGGCAGCTGCCCTGCCTCCTCAGACGCAGGCTGCAACCGAGCAGCAGTGATCACTTTGCAGGAGCTGCTTGTTTCCTGCTCTCTGCCTGGTTGGAGATGATGTATGGGGAGGAGATGGCGTAGCTCCTGCTGCCCCAGCCACACAGCTTGGCGGCTGCAGGCAGCAACCGTCCTATCTCATGTGTTCACGGAGGAGATGCGGGAGCGAAAGGAGAGGGACTCTCACTGAAATACCCAGGACCCACCTGGAACCCAGGACCGGAGCTGGACACGCCATGAGAGATGCAGGGAGGAACCAGACCCATTCAGAGCCTGGCCTGGGAGTCCCACGGAGCTGGGTCCAAACGCTGTGTGAACTAAGACAAGCCACTCAACCTTGCTAAGCTCAGCTGCAGGTGGGGCTGCTGACTGATCTCACGAGAGCTCAGGGCAAAGAAGCCTCCATGGTGGGGGGAGGGGAGAGACATTTATCATCTTTCTATAAGATGCCCTGGTGTACCCTGAAAGGCATTAGGATTCGAGGAAACGAGGGGACAAGCATTTACAGTGGCAGTCCCAGAGTAGGCACAGGTAGCAGTGAGAGAGTTCCAGGAGGGAGTAATCTGCAGATACTGTGAGCTTGGGCCACGGCCACCAAAGAACATGGTCCCCAGCCCCACCCTCCAGCCAGCTGAACCTGCCAGTGGTTCAGCCCTGTCAGGGACAGAAGGTTGGCTCTCCCAGCTCCCTGTGGAAGCCACCTGGTAAGGCTGAGCCAGGTCCCTGCGCCACCCTCAGTGCTTAGCACAGACCTCTCCTGTCCCCAAACACCTGTATGGGCTGCTGCGTTGAGGGGTAAGGCCTTTATTCCCTGCTTTGAAGAGGGTGGGGCTCTGTCCCTGCTCTGGGAAGAACTGTTCTGTTTAATAAAAGTACAAGGAACTGCGTTCAGTTATTGGCATCTCTCCACGTGCTTTTTGTATGTAAACTCACTCGCTTCCCATGAGGCAAGGCCCATTTATTAATCCTCCATTCAATAAACTGCCTGAACAGCTACTGTGCACCAGACTCCATTCGGGAGGCTCAGGTGGCAGCCCGGACCCAGCCTCAGTCCAGACCTGCTCCTGGCAGAGAGGAAGCAAACAGCGTTCGTGGGCCAGCCACCCAGACTCCTGGAACGGCCTCAAGGTCGAATTTCACCCAGGGCACAAGCCCTCCCTCCCATCACCCGGTTCACACCGGGACCCCATAGCCCAGACTTGCACTGCCACCTGGTGGTCATATTGGGAAGGGCTCCAAACAGTGCCCTTTCCCCCTCCACTGAGGCAAATTGGGTCCTCTCCATCCACAGGTTTGGGGAGGTCACTACTTGGGGGTGGGAACAGACCTCCTGGGTCCCTCTGGAGGGAGTAGAAATGGGTATGTCTCTCTGGGGGAGTCATTCAGCAGCACCATTGGCCTGGGATTCTTTTTTGTTAAATCCTCACCGGAGGTTATTTTTCCATTTATCTTCAGATAGAGTGGGAGAGAAGGAGAGAGAAAGAGAAACATCCACGTGAGAGAAATACATTGACGGGTTGCCTTCCGCAAGACCCCGACCAGGGCTGGGGATGGAACTGCAACCGAGGTACGTGCCCTTGACCGGAATTGAACCTGCAACTCTTTGGTCTGTGGGCCGATGCTCTAACCAACCAGGGCTGGCCTGGGGATTCTTAAAGAGCAGTGTCTGACAAACACCAACCGCTTAGCCTCAGCGTGGCCACGGGTTCTCAGTAGGCAGGCAGTGCACCTGTGGCGCGGAGGGCCGGCCCAGTGCAATGCAGGAGGCTCCGTGTTTGCAGAGTCACCATTTGTGAGGAAGCCCATTGTCCCTTGAATCTTGCCCCTTGCCCAGCCTGGAATGTCTCCCGTCACCTTGGGTCCAAACCTAGTGCGAGGCCCAGCGCAATGAAAGCCGTCGGGAGGGGTGATTCCTCCTTGCATTCTCCTGCCACCTACCTGTACCTCTCGAAGCTTCACGAAGAGGGGTGCTATCAGTCAGTGTGACTCTTCCAAGGCCAGTCGCATGTGGGTGCCCCGCAGCTTCGAAGAGAGTGAATGAGTGCTGACAGGAGGGGCACCTCTGTCTTTGGAGAATGTTCTTTCCTTCTTTGGGAGTCTTGGGTGTGAACTCTGGGGTCAAGCCATCTCGTATCAAATCCGGGCCCTGCCACGTGCTAAGCAACTCTGCTCCCTGCCTCGGCTTCCCCACTGTGCCCACACTCTGGTGCTGGGATGACTGGGCTCTGAGTCTGCGAGTGCCCCACGAGGCTCCTGCACACAAACTCTGGGTCTCACCTACCACAGGGGTTTGCAGCAGGAACCCTGCCCCACTCCTTGACCCAGGGCTTTAGAGTGTCACCTTCTTGACCTGTTAGAGTCACTACTAGGTCCCTAAGTTTCTCCTAATGTGGCGTTCTCAGACTCCTTCAGGTAAAGAGCACCTGGGTAGCTCCGGCCAGGCCAGGGGCCCACACTCGGCCTTCAGGAGCAGGCATGGGAATGGGATGGGGTCGGGGTTCTGCCTACTGGGCCCTGACCGAGAGGAGCCTGAGTGGCAGGGCCGGGACCAGGATGAGGCGAGCGAGGCGCAGGGCACACATTTAAGGAGGCACCGCGCTCAGACTGGCACAAGTGCAGGGTCGGCCTGAGTGAGCAGCTCCTTGCATCCGGAACCCTAGGCGCCCAGTTCACTTCCCCCTGGTCCTGGTCCTGCGTGTCTCACAGGGGCATTTCCCAAGGGGCCTCTTTCAGTCCGTTTCAAGAGCAGTGATGGGGCGGCGGCTGTCTCACCCCGCTTGCCTGGCTGGGGCAGAGGAGAGTTCTGATCCGCCACCGGGCCCAAGGTCACAAGGAGACATGTCAACCAAAACCTCGCATCCCTTTCCCATTTATTGGTACCACACTGTGGAAGACCTGGGAACTTGTGGGGAAACTGGTTTTCCTCCGAGACTGGGGAAGAGCTAGAAGACAGAAAGTGGGTGGAAAGAAAGAGGAGGTGACTGTGAGGGGACAAGGGATGAGGAAGTGGCCCCTGCCACCCACAGAAAGTTCTCCTGTGTCCATCACCCAGCTGAGCCCGCCGGCTGGGACAGGAGCACTGGGCAAGCGGTAGGAATGTGGAGGGTCCCGGAGCCCCCAGCCCCAGCCCTGGGCCCTGCAGGCCCCATTATTTTAAGGCCCCCCAGACGCTGGGTCTTCTGCAGCTCCCACGTTCTTGGGCTGAGGCGCTACCCAACGGGATGCGGGTGGCCAGCCCACCCAGCCCCTCTCCTCTGGCCCCAAGCCCCTCAGGAATCCTTCTGCCAGTCTGCTGAGGGAGGGAGAACCTTCCCTAAGACCGGGGTTGTCACTGGCAGGCCCAGCCGTCTGACCTGCATGGGTGGCCCATGGGGCAGCGTGGGGCCTTCACCCTTACCCAAGGTCCTATCCTGAAGCCCCAACTCCAGCCCAGGCCTTCGCCAGGAACCGGGCGGCTTACCCCCTCCCCACTTTCACTTCTAGTAGCCTGAAGGCTCAGCTCTCTAGGGGAGGTTCTGGGTCACTTAGACTCCTGGTCTGTGGAATTTTAATGCTAAACTTGGGACAGTCCTGAGAAAACCAGGATGGCTGGTCACCTTAGTGTCACTCTCCCCAAACCCTCTGGACCCTGCAGGTGGGTCCCACATAAGCCTTATGGCTTCCCACCCCCACCCATCTCCTGTGTCCCTGTGCTCTGGGTAAGACCACATTATTTTGTTCCCTTTTGTTTGAGACCCAGCTCCCATGTGTCCTGAGGTGCCACACCTCCCCTTGGCCCTTAGGGTTCAAGTGCCCTCCCTCTGGTCCCATAAGCTCCCGTGCACGTGGTGTCTCCTCCCAAAGGGACGGCAGGCATCATGACCCCGTTCCACAGGCGATGCAGGAGGCCCCAGAGCGGCCTTGAACTCGGCCAGAGGCATTTCATCAGCTAGATCAAGGGAAGCTGACGCTGCCCCCGCCTGGCTGGGGTCCAAGCAACCAGCTTCAGGGTCCCCACAGCCCCTCACCCACCCCGCCTTTCCTGGGGCTTCACACCCTGAGTGTCTCAGGCTCACGCTCTCTTCATGTAAACATCTTAGTAACATCTTTAATGCTGCCGCACGCGATGCTGTGAGTTCAAGCACAGCCTCTGCACATCCTGAGTTACCCGCAGCCCTCCAGAGGTTGAAGTGATAATATATTTATAGCATCTGGAGGAGGAAACATCCAGAATCTTCCCCGTGTGGGCCACCTAGTCCCTCACATCCCGACATGTGGAATTTACCCAGCAGAATTGTACATGCTGCCCCCGCGTCCCCTCCAACCAGCGGAGGACAGCGACGTGGCGAGGCTGGGCACGGGCATGCTTCTGTGCGTGCTCAGGTGTGCTGCATGCCCAGCATAGAAAAGTGCCCAGCTCCTGGGGTCCGGTTTGGCCCAATGCCTTGCCCAGGTGCCCCAGACTGGTAGAATTCCTGAGGGGTATGGGGTGGATGGACAATGGGGGGTGGGTAGGGGGTATGATAAAAAAATAGACTAGGTTTCTTAGGTCTGTTCCCCAGGAGGCGCTCCCCAGCCCATTCCGGGCCGTCAGAACATCCCCCGTTAGCCCACAGTCTGTGACCATGGCTCTCAGCCCCATAGCCACCCCAGCCCCGGACCCCCAGTGTACGGCCAGACAAGGAGCCATTGGCATAAGCAGGTTCCCTGGCTTTTAGAGCCCAGTGAAGAGATGGGGGGCAGCTGCACGCTCAACTTTTCCTTCCCTCCTCCTTCAGCCCCGGAGCACTGAGGGCAGAGGTAGCCTACCCCATGCTCCTCCACACACCCTGGGGTGTTGGGTGATTTGAGGGTGGAGCCAATGCAGAGGGTGTACATCCCTCCTCCTGTGCTGGGACTGGCACACGTCTGTGCGTGGGCACATTCATGCATATGCGTGAGGCCATTCCGTAGGTCTGGGCACTGCCTCTGTACCCCCACTTCCACACCCATTTCCCCCTCAGCTTCCAACATTCTTTGAGCCCAGCCAACAGCTGGCTGCCAGGAAGGGGTGGCTGGGAGATCTCGTTAACACTCTGCAATATGGACCTACTTTGGGTATGAGTAGCCCCCCTCCTGGCCACCTTGCCCATTGGGCAGTTTCAGCTCCATCCCTGGGTGCCACCACACCGTCCCCAAGACCTGGGTGGTTAGCTCTCCCACCCCAGAGGAGGCTCCAGATTCCAAAGACAGGTCTCTCCCTACACTCCTCCCCTCCCATCCCATGTTTCCTCCACGGCTTCTACATTAGAGGAGAAGCCTGATGTGGGGTCTGGGCAAAGCGCAAGGAAGCCAGCACTGAGTCTCGGCCTTCCTGACAGGAGGGATGCCCTCCACGATAGGGCCCTCACATCAGGGGATGTCAGTGGCCAGATGCCCAGCCTGGAGAGTCAGCAGGTGGGTCCTCGGAACAGCTGGGGCCTTGGCAGGGCAGGTCCTGAGAGTAGGCAGCTCTGTGGGCTCTGAGGCAGGTGTCTTCACCAGAGGTCCAGGCTGTCCCTGGATCACTCAGGCGTGGATGGCATTGGCTACGTCGGTGAACACCAGCCGGCTGGGCCTCTGCAGCGGGCCCTGAGATGGGAGCGTGGTCTGCAGAGAGACAGTCAGGGCATCAGGGACCTTGACCAAGGCCATGCGCTCTCTGGCCTAGTCGCCTCCATCCTCACTTCCTGGTGCCAGCTTGCACTTGGCACCAGCTGTGCCTTCTGTCTGGACCACCCTCCCTGCAAGCTTAGCCTAGAAATCCAACCTGGCTCAGATGACTCCTCCCCCACAGCCACACCAGCTTGCCCTGGCAGCACTAACCCTGTGGGCCAGAGGCTGGATCAATTATGCATGCACCTCGCCTCCCAGCAGAGCAGGGCTCAGCTCTGCCATCCAGCCCAGCCAGGGCCTGGCGCAGGGGAGGTGCGCGGAGAGCAACTGTCAAACGGTCAGCATCCCTGGGCGGGCGGACTGAGGTTCTCAGTCCACTTCCTTCACTTTCCCAATGGGCAACGTGTCCTGATCTAGGTGACACAGGCCAGCCTGGCTTTTCCTGAGTTGTCTCCTAAATCTGCCTCTGGGTGCGCCCTGCTCCCCCCACCAGCAGCTTGTGGGGTCAAGGGAAGGAGGGATGCAAGGAGTCAGGGGGAGACCAGGCCTCCTCATGGTGCTCTAGTCCTTGGGGTTTTGGGGGCTGATGGCAAGTGACCAGGCAGCCAATGACTTTGGCAGGATGACCACACAGGTACTCGACCCTTTGACATAGGAGGTGAGACCCAGCTGCCTGGGGTCTGTCAGTTACTAGGAATCCATCAGTGCCCCAAGTGACCCAAACCACCGCCTACTCAGCACCATGGGCTCTTGGGGAGCAGAGGAACCCAGGTGCTCAGTCCCCATCCATCGGTCCCATCAGGCCTCTCCTAGCTAGTACAGGGAGCATGCAGGGGAAGATCTAGGGTTTCCATTTGAAGATAAGTCTGAGGCTCAGAGGGGCCAGTGGGCTTCCAAGAGCACCAGGCCATTGGGGCAGAGCCTGGCTGGATCCCAGGGCTGCCCTGACCTGGCCTCGCATGGTGGGTCTGTGGGTGATCACGGAGTAATTCTGCCAATTTCTAAACAAACCTGACCAAACCCATACCCCCGACAGCGGCCGCCTGACCTCATGGCAGGTGCTGGAATGCTGATGAGGAAGGAAGGGGGTGAGTCACATAGGCTGCAGGCTGCTGGGGAGGCTGGTCGGTGCCCACCTTGCCTTGAAGGGCCTGCGCGGAGGCGGCGTCCCGCCCGTGCTCCAGCAGCTCCTGCTCCAGTTCGTCTTGTTCCTCCGTGGGGTCGAAGTTGTACATCGGCATGAGCTGGTGGCGCAGCTTCTCCAGCCTGGGGGGTGAGGGCAGAGGCTGCTGGGGGCAGGGCAGGCCCTTCCCCTCCCACCAGCCCTCCAGGCCCTGCCGGCTGACCCGCTGAGCCATAGCACACACCACGTTTAGGAGCCTAAGATTTCCCCTGGCTCTACCTCTCAGACGTGTGGTCTGGGAGCAATAGTTCAGAGCTGTCATTGTGGGTGTCCATCCACAGCCTCTGGGTGGCGGGGGTGGGGGGGCAGTGGCAGTTAACTCGGGGCAGCAGGGCAAGGGTGTCTGGGCAGCTGGTTGGAGGTATTCTCAACCTTCTCTCCTCCCCACCCACCCAATCCCAGGCCATACCTGCCTGCCCTGTGGGTGGGATCCGAGGGAGTGGGCTTCAACCTTCCTAGAAAGTGGCCACCCTCAACCCACCCAGTGGGCAGAAGAGACCCTGACTCTCTGACCAGGGACAGGGGTGCTGATGGTGGGGGACTCTTATTTCCTACCCACATCCCCTGGAGCCCAGCCAAGCACCACCCCTGGGCTGGAGTTTGGGGAGGCAGCTGAGGAGTTACCTCTTCTTCCTGATGTACAAAACCTGCAAGAGAAGGAGCAGTGTCCAATGGCAGGAAAGGAGGCCCTGATTAACCCAGCAGTCCCTCGGGACAGGGGACATGCTGAGGCTGATGAACGGGAGACTGTGGGTCCCCAAGTCCTCAGGAACCCCATCCCAGGGACACATACAGCCTGCATTTGTGCCTCCCTTTGAGGTATATTAGATGCTGACAGTGCCCCTGAGGAGCCCAGCCTGGGAAGACCACCCAGTCAAGTCCTGCCTGGGGGTGTGGGCTCCACCTCTGTCCATGCTGACCAAGGCTCCAGGCACTCAGCACCTGCCTGAGACTCCGCATGCTAAAGAGGGAAGGGGAACACTTCAGCATACCCCCTCCTCTCTACTCTCCCCAGGCCCAAAGACACAAATGGTAAAAAAGGAACGGAGACAGGCAAGGCTCTGCGCTGGGCTCCTGGGGTTTCCAAGGGAGGTTGGGGACCCTTAGTGGACAAGGGCTGGAAAGAGGGCCTGAGCCCCTGGACATCAGCCCAGACAAACTCCAGTACCCTGATGCTGGAAGAACGAAGGAAGGACCTGGGTCCTAAACCCCATTGTGCAGACTTGAAGATAAAGGCCTAAACAGCCTTAGAAAACACCCAAGACCCAAGAGCTCTGGGCTGGAGCAGGAAACCCTGGTACAAAGCACTGAAAGGAGAGGAAGGGGTGACTACTGGGAAGGGGCTCCAGGGACCTCTGCTACCACCCTGCTCCTCCCTAAACCGGCTTTCGGACGACCAGCAGCATGAGCTTCTGCCTGGGGAACAGCCCCATCTCCAGAGTCTGTCCCAAACCCTCTGTGGCTCACACCCTCTGTGGCCCATTCAAAGCTTGAACCTGCTTTGGTTTCCAGCCTGGCCCAGAGCTTCTCCTGCTGCTCACTCCTGGGGGACTCCAAAGGCCTGGGAAGAAACGGAGGTGCCCTTTGCTCCCCCACCCCCTCTGGAGGGGTCACGTGTGGGTGGCATGCAACAGCAGGTCCAGGTCTCTGGCCCAGCATCAGCACCCTGTCCCTCCTCACCTCTCAGCCCTGCCGCAAACCCTCCTCCTGGCTCTGTGGCCCCGTGATTCAGAAGGATCTCTGAGAGGGCCAGAACCTCATCTCCATGACTTCCTCCTGCTGTTCCCTCTGCCCCAACTACTGACACCCCCCTTACAAACCTTACAAATCTTCCCCACCTCTCACTGCCCAGCAGCAGCCCCACGTCCTCCAGGAGGACCTCCGCCACCACTTCTCCCGTGTGAAACACATAGCCTGGCACTGATTTGCTCCTCCTTGTACCCAGCAGGGTCCGGCTGGGGCTAGCATGGAGGAAGAGGAAGCAGCACTCAGGGAATCTCTTTGGACCTGTCTCCTGGTGCTCAGGAGCTGTTTCCTGCCTTCTAGTGCCTTTGCCCCATAACCTCCCTACCTCTCGACTTTTGGCAAGGCCAGCCACCCTGGCCCCCCGAATATTCCTCCTGGACCAAGAGTAAGAGAGTTCTCCCAAATTCCTGGGGTGAAATCTTTCATGGAGAATTACAAGGGCAGATTCTAGGTCCTGAGGTGGGGGTGTCTCAGTCTGTTTGACTGTCGCACGGGTGCCAAGGGAAACACTGGCGTTCCGCCTCGCCCTGCCCTAGGGGACTGCGCAGGCTCCAGCCTCACCCTGCATGTTATATCCTGGTCCTGCTTGCTGGCCGGCAGTCATTTCCTGGCAGTGGTCCGGAGCCCGTGGGGCCCATATGGCAACTCTGGTTTAACAGCGGCTCCAACCAGGCCATGGACGGACCATCCACAGCCCTGTTTGTCAGAGCAACCTGTTTCTGAGCTAAGGCCAGCCACTGGAGCCTGCAAGGGGCAGTGGGCAGAACGCCACTGTTGCCAGGCCTGCTGGGGACCTTAGGTGCACTCCCTCCCGTCCTGGCCTCAGCCTGCACAATCTCTAGTGATCCCTCAGTGACATTCCGAGTGTCCGTGGTCATCCTAGAGGGAAAGTTTATATCTTCAGGTGCAGACACCCGCTCTGGAAGCACCCTATTCACTAGCGGGGGACACCTGCACCCCTCAGCCTGCACACCTCCATCCTGAGGTCTGCCAGTTCTGCCTTTCTCATGACACTGGGGCCAGGCCTCTACCTTGAGGTCTCAGCTCTAATGTTGCCTCCTCAGTTGGCCCTGACCGCCCAGCCTGGAAAGCTGCTCCCTCCAATTCCCCAACCCAACCCCTATGGGCTTCCCTTGGCACCTTTGTTTCATGTCTTCCATTCCCTGTAAGACCCATAGGGCAGGACTTTGTCTCCCTAGTCCATGGGGTTCTGATGGCTTGAGCTAGGGCAGGTGCCCAATAAACAACGGGCAAGTGAATGAATGAATGAATGAATGAGCACTGCCAGTGGCCTGCCATTTTCAGAGCATCCACCCCGACTCCGCAGCCCATGATCTACCCCGAGCACCTCTGGCCTCTATTCCTACTGTACCCCCACGCTCATTTGCCTCACTGTTCTACTTGCTGCTCACAGAACCTTCCGCATGCCTCCAACTTTTGCCCACCAGGAACCTCCACTTAGAAAACACTCTCCTCCCCAAATCCTTTGTGGCCTTTATGGCCCAGCTCAAAACACCATGTGTTTCTCAAAACCTGCTCTGGTTCTTCCAATTGGAGGCAGCCTCTCTGGTCTCTGGGCCCCAGTGGACAAGTCTCTGAGGAAGGGGAGGATTGCATTATCATTAACAGACAACTGTCTTTAATTAGAATCTCTAACATCTAAACACTGACCACCCTCCTCCAACTGAAGGTCATCTGGGACAGACCCAACCTGCCCCAGTTCTCACCATGGCCACAGCCAGGCCAATCACCGTGATGATCCCAAAGGACAGAAGCATTGTGCCCACGCCGGCTGTGCCACTACCCACGCCAGACATTCTGGTGTCATTAAAGCTGGTGGCTTCTGGGCTGAGCGTGGTGGTCTCAGAGGCTGGCCCATCTGTGGCAGTCTCAAGGTTAGGCTCAGAAGTGGATGGCTGGGTGCTGAACCAGCCCCTAGCAGACAGGATCCTGGAATTCATGATGGTGGGAGACTGCATATGGTCAGTCAATCTGCCCACTCACTTCTGACATCAGGACTGTCCCAGCCTGTGACCCTGCTACCCATGTAGGTGACCACTTCCTTGGATAAAAGGAGCTCTCTGCTTCCCTGGATGCTGTAAAGAAAAGAATTAAAAATAAGAGACTGCGAATGGGACTGGGTGGTGAGATGAAGCCCCCTAAATTCTGAAGGGACTGGGGAAATACAAGGTGGAGGACAAGGGCAAGTTGAGGAGACATCAGGACATATGCTTTATATATCTAGTTACCATGTGGATTTAGGAATGTGAAAATGAAGTCCCGCCCCCTCCTTGTGGGTAGGATGACCATAGTGAGCATATTTGGAAGATGTGAAAGGTAGTGGGGAGGTTTGAAAGAAAAAGTGTCTCTTGCCTGGCTGGTGTGGCTCAGTGGTTGAGCATCGACCCATGACCGGTTCGATTCCCGGTCAGGGCACATGCCAGAGTTGTGGGCCCAATTCCCAGTGGGGGCGTGCAGGAGGCGGCCAAGAAATGTTCTCTCTCATCGATGTTTCTATCTCTCTCTTCCGCTCCCTTCCTCTCTCGCTAAAAATCAATAAAGAAAAAATATTAAGCCCTGGCCAGTTTGGCTCAGTGGTTAGAGCATCGGCCCATGGACCAAAGAAAGAGTCTTGGGTTCGATTTCGGTCAAGGGCATGTACCTCGGTTGCGGTTCAGTCCCCGGCCCTGGTCAGGGTTGTGCAGGAGGCAGCCAGTCGATGTGTCTCTCTCACATCGATGTTTCTGCTCTCTCTCTCTATCCCCCTCCCACTCTATCTGAAGATAAAAGAAAAAAATATCCTCAGGTGAGGATTAAAAAAGAAAAGAAAGAAAGAAAAAGTGTCTCCCTTGCATAATACCCTACCCCCTTCTCTTCCTCCCCACACAACTCACCTTCTCTCTCCCCACCTCCTACATCCCATATCTCCTGCTTGGAGGAAAAAAAATACTGCATTTTTGTCCTTTTCTGGAGGGAAACACTTGCGCAAGAGCTAGACAGACCTGTCTTAAAATGCCAGCTCGGTCTCTTAACTAGATGATCCTAGGCAAGTCGCTCTACCTCTCTGTGTCTGTTTTCCTGAACCTAAGGGGAGGATATTAACACCTCCCTTACAGGGTCAGAGGGTCACTGAAATGTCAGAATGAACCAATCCCTAGAAAAGACTTAGCTCAGCACAATCCCCGTTCATGAGAAGCACCCAGTAAATATTAGATCTTCTCGCCCTGGCCAACCCACTTGGGAAAAGGGAGTCACAGAAGCCCCTGGATCCAGCCCACTGTGTGATCCAGGCTGTACTTGGAGTGGGGATGGGGACAGGTATGGGGAGACTGGAAGACAGGAAGGAGAGAGAGGCTAAAGTTAGGTCCTCTGGCAGGACTTCTCTGCAGGCTCTTGGGGTCACTGGACCCCCTATAGGGGAGCTAGTGGCTGCCAGAGACAAGGAGCAAAGCAAGGGAAGCATATCTTCCAAGGCAAGGATGGAGCTTTCACTCTGAGGTGCCTTTTCCTCCTCTTCTCGCCTCCCTTGGGAGTTGAGGGTGGGAGATGGGCCCAGCCCAGGGTGTGGCTTAGGCCTTCCCAGGGTAAGGCAGGGTGGGAGGGGGTTCCAGCCAAGCTGCAGGGCAGCCTAGAGAGAGGAGAGATACACAGCACACAGCTGCATACATACCTCCCTGTGCTTGTTCATGGGTATATGTGGAGTGCCTCCCAGTGCAGGTGCATGGGTGTGGATGAGGTCTGCACACACCGTGATGGACCCCAGGAAGGGGCAAGGTTGGCAGAGGTGGGTTGGGAGGGGCTCATCTCACTCTGCCCTCTACTGCCAGCAAGGCTGGGCAGGTCAGGAGTCCCAGGTTCTTTTTGGCTCTGCCATTGACCCCAGATGTGACCTTGGGCCAGACCCTTAACTCTTATTCTGGGCTCTTTTATTCCTGTGTCTAAAGGAGAAAAAAGGCCCTACTCATCACTGTCAAAGACTGCCTCAGGGTTCAAAGGGCCTGCGAAGGAAACCGGGATGAAAGAGGTCGGCCTCATGACCTCAGAGAACCCGCATACCCTTCTCCACCAGGTTCCTCCGTCCTCCCTGGCCCAATCCCCATCCCCGCCTCTGCGACTCTGTGAGTCCTCCATTCTTGCACGGAAACGGCGACCTCATCACTTACTTAATCCTCTCTGGGACGCCGAGCTCAACGGAGAGGCTAGGGGTGGTGGCGAAAGGCTAGAGGATCGGGCGGGGGGAACCCCCAGTCCTGGGGTGGGGGGCGGCGGGTCCGACCTGAGGTCCGCTCTCCCTGTACGCTCCGACCTCGGGCTGGGCCCGCTCCGCTGCACCGCCCGCAGCCACGAGCGCCTGCTCAGCCAGCCTGGCCAGGACTGGCAAGGCCGGGACCCACCGCGGGGGTGAGGTCGAGGCGAGCAGCCTCGCGGGTCGATGACACTCCAGTGCCTGCCCGCCCCTTGGGTCCGCGCCCTCGGGCCCCGATTGGCTGTCAGACCCAGAGCCCGATCGGCATTGGCCCGCTCGCCTGTCGCTCGGCTCCTGCTCCAACCTCCAGCGGGAGCCGGATTGTAGTTCTCGGACACCATCCCTCACTACCCCTTGCTTCTGCAGGAGTCCCGCGGGCACCGTGTGTGGTCAGGCCCTTTCTGGGCCAGAACTCGGGCCCGGGGCCAGCCCGGCTCCACCTCCGCCAGGACAGACTCGCGTTCGCGTAACGTAGGCTTGGGGAGAGCCTTGGAATGGGAATCCTTGGGCCTGCGTTGTTGATCTCTGGTTCTACCCTGTTCTGGCTTTGTAACTTAGAGCAAGATGCTTCCCCTCCCCAAGTCTCAGATTCCTGTTCAGATGGGCACTGAGGTGGGGGCTCTTGGTAAATGACACCCAACCTCGGGTACAAATGGGGAATCTTCAGAGAAGTTGGGAGAGGGATGGTATTATTCTTGGAGTGGTGTTATTGGGCAACCCGACCCAAGCAAACCTCACAATAGCCTCCATCCAGGGCTCGGTCAGCCCAACTCAGGGGAGGGACCTTCAGATACCTTCTAATTCTCAGGTTTTCAAAGGAGTTTATGGGGATCATAGGAGTAATCTGTTACAAATACGGATTCCCGGCGGCTCCCGGGTCTGGGACGGAGCCCGGGAAACTGCATGTTAAATAGTCAGGTGAACAGTGATCTAGTTAACAACAGATTTTGGTGAGGGAAGGGGACAGTTGGCAGGCCACATTTTGCCGGACGCTGCCATGACTTTTATAGAAGAAGCAACTGAGGCCCATGGAGGGCCGGGCACCTGGACAAAGCTTTACGACTAGTTGGCAACGTTGTCAGGATTCAAGCCCTGATCTCCTGCATCCGGTTTCTAGTTCCCTGCTCCAAACCCTAGAGCCTGAGCAAGGCGGACAAAAGCCCGGGGCGTGGCCTGGGCCACTCCCTCAGCCAGGTCCTGGACACTGGGTCTTACACTCCAAATCGGTACCCGCCTCTACACTGAGACCCGCGTACGGGCAGCTCTACTGGCTCACAGGCTCCGCTAGACCCCACCCCTGTACATAGCGTCAACTCTCGAACCCAGGACCGGCAGGTGACACGCCTTTTCGGCTGGCTACACACCGCTCGCGCCGGTACCCAGACAGCAGCTAGGAGCAGTCACCGCGGGCTGGAGCCGTATTTCTGCCCTGACCTTGGGGAAGATCAGCCCCCCCAGGGAGCAACCCCACGCACAGCTCTGCATTTTCCCGGGGGCCCTGCGGGGCGTAGTGGGAGTGCGTTCACAGCCTCCTCCACAGCCCCGGGGGACTCTCGGGTGCCGCTCAGCGGTGCTAGGAACCCTGGAGCTGGGCCACGGGGTCCGCCCGAGCCCTTTCTCAGCTGCGCCGACCCCGGAAGCAGGGCGTTCCGGGGAGCTCCCCGCAGCCACGCACGTCCGGGAGCCGAGCCCAGAGCTTCTCTCCAGGCCGGCGGGCTTGTCTGCCATCCCCTCTGGCAGGTATGCGCTAGAGCTGGGGATCAGGAGGGGTGGTGCCTAGATCGAAACACCTCCGAGAACCTTTTCCTTCCCCAACTCCCCCTTGTGCATATGGGGAAATAGGCATGGGGAGCGGTGACCTTGCCTGGGTCATTAATGTTGCCATGCTGGACTGAAGCAAGATGCGCCCCTGACTTCAGGCCTCCCCAGCGCTCAGATGACCGAGACTCCGCTGGAGTGCAGAGGACTTGGATTTGTGTCTTGGCTGGGACAGTTCCTAGCTGGGTGACTGGGCAAGTCCTCCCTCTCAGAGAGAGAGCCTCCTTTTCTTCCCTGTTTGTCTCTGAAGATGTACACCTTTCAGATGCTCAATGAACGTTTTTTTGGACCTTGATCAGTGTGAAAGGAAAAGGGACCACTGATTTAAAAACCTTCAGTAAAACATGTTTGTGATAACTTAAATATAACATTAACAAAAATTGTCAATATTTCAGCTGGCAATTTATGCTGGCATTTAGGATTATGGGTTAAATTGGGGGAGAGGGGCATTTCAGCATCCAGATTTATGACAATACAGGCAAAATATCAAAAGCAGCCCTGGCCGGTTTGGCTCAGGGGTTAGAGCGTCGGCCTGCGGTCCGGAGAGACCCAGGTTCAGTTCCTGCTAAGGGCACGTACCTTGGTTGCAGTTTGTCCCCGGCCCTGATTGGGTCGTGTGGGTGGCGACCACTCGATGTGTCCCTTTCATGTCGATGTTTCTCTCTCTCTCTCCCTCCCACTCTATCTAAACAAAATATCAAAAAATGTCCTTGAGTGAGGATAAAAAAAACAAAAAAACAAAAGCAAAACCCCCACACAAAGACAGACTTCTCCCCCTTGTAATATTAGTTAAGAACATATAACATTGAGTCTCTCCTGTCTGTTGATCTGGCTCCTAGGTCCTTGACATTCATTCACTAATACACTGCTTGTCATAAAATTGGTGTTATCTTCCCCACTTTATGGACAAGGAAACTGAGATTCAGAAATGATGACTTTCCCAGAGTCACACACTGGATCAAACAGATTTATCTAACATCCAAGCCCAGTCCCTGACCCATTTATTAGCAGGGACTGAGCTATGGGTTCAGCCCATTTAAGCTAAAAACATGATGGAGCCCTGGCCAGTTTGGCTCAGTGGTTAGAGTGTCAGCCCGCGCAGACCAAATTGTTGTGGGCTTGATTCCAGTCAAGGGCACGTACCTTGGTTGTGGTTCGGTCCCTGGACAATCAATATGTCTGTCTTACATTGATGTTTCTCTCTCTCTCCCTTGCTCTCTATCTGAAGATAAGTGGAAAAAATATCCTCGGGTGAAGATTTAAATAAATAAATAAATAAAAAACATGAAGGAAACATCACTGGCCAAGACCAGAAGATTCAAATAGGTGGGTAAGAGTCCAAAATGGAGTCAAGGAGATGACAGAGCAAGAGCATGACCTCTTTTAGGCAGCAGGTCAGAGGGGAGTGGGTCATGTGAGGCTCAGCTGCTGTACTGGTTCTCCTTGTCTCTGCCAGGTTGGCAGCACACCTGAAGGCCAGAGCCACTTTGAAGAGCCATCTCCACCCAGCCGGGGCCAGTGACCATCCTCAGCAGCTGACATCACGAGACTTGGGAGTGCTCAGGGGAGCCTTCCCTTGAGACATGGAGCTTTGGGGTGGAATGCTACGGGCCCTCCTGTCTGGTTCAGGGAGGCGGGGAGGCGCTCTGGGCTGGGCCTTCAGCTCCTGGCGACCCCATCTGCCTCAGGCTGGGTTGTTGAGTGCCACAGAGCTGGTCAACCAGTGGACGGCCATCTTTGAGAAGAGAGGTATCCCCGAGGCCCGGGAATCCAGCGAGTACATCGTGGCTCATGTCCTTGGAGCCAAAACAGTTAAGTGCAGTGTTGTCAAGTGGGGGAGTCTGAGGACCTTGGGGAAGAGAGGGGAGAGAGGACCTTGGGGAAGAGACTTCCAGGCTTTTCCGCCCCACTGAGAATGCTGATCTAAGACTGAAGCGATTTTTCTGGAGGAATACCTTAGGCAGATACTTACTCATTCACCCAACAAACTATTACTGTGTGTGCCAGGCTATGTGTTCTGGGATGACCAAGGGCTCATAGGCATTGGCCACATAAGAAATCCGGGTCAGGGCCTCTGGACCAGGGGAGCCAGCCACTCACATTCTCTGTGGGACAGTTTCAGAGCATGAGTCCAGCACTTCGGACACAGCCCCTCACCCCTTGGCAACTACAGTGCATCCAGGAGCTGAGTAGCCACCGATTGCAAAGGTGAGGGCTCTGTGAGGAGCAGGGGTCAGCTTTCCCCAGCCCTGCCAACTTCATGATCAGGGAGGAGGAAAGTGTCCAAGGACTAGGGGGGTGTTGGGATGACAGAGTGTTGGGGGCAGTCAGAGTAATAAATAGGAAGAAAGTAGGGAGAGAAGGCCTTGGCTAAGAGTCCTAGTGCACAGGAGACATGATTCTACCTTACACTTTCAGCTGCAAGTGTTATCCCTCAACTGAGGCATGGTCCTCTTGGTCCAGGCACTGATAATCACCCCCTCTCTCCACAGGATGCCTGTGCAGTACATCCTTGGTGAGTGGGACTTTCAGGGGCTCAGTCTGAAGATGGCACCCCCAGTATTTATCCCTCGGCCAGAAACAGAGGTAGGTGTGCCACCAGGATAGTAGGATGGGGATGAGGGTGGAGTTCAGAACACTTGTCTTGCCCCAGACTTCCTCCAGGGGGCGCTGGGGCCCCATGGCTGCTATCCTTAGAGGCAGTACCATTCTAAACTGGCTGTGTCCTGGCTGGTTAGGTAGATGTTGCTGAGAGGACAGAAGTCTCCTGCTGGCTTTCTTGACTGTCTTTATATCCCAAGCCATCGCCTCAGCCCCCAGGGCTGGCAGTGGCTCAAGGTACCCCAACTAGTGCTGTCTACCAAGTGCTTAGCCAGTACCTGTCATTTCCTTACGAGTTGTCCCTTGGGCCAAAGGTCTACTCAACCCATAGGAAACAAGTGTCCTCCTCCTTTGCATAGGCTAAGTGGAGAGGGCTCTGGCTGTACATCTGGAGGTCTGGTACAGCTCTGTGCCCTCAGACAGGCCACTGCCCCCTCTGGGCCCAGATGACAAGAGGGTTGGGTCTCCAGACCAGGGAATCTGTGACTTGGTGGTCATTTTAGATCTACTATCTGGTAAATTAATCACCTCTGTCCCTCAAGTTACTAGGACTTGGGAAGGGGGTGGCCCCAGCATGCTGTCCCTTGGCGAGGCACCCTGATCCTAGGAGAGATGCCCTCTGCGACTGTTCTTGTGCTTTCCTCGGACCTTGTAGGTGGCAGAGCTGGGAGCCGAGCAGAGCAGGGGATGGGGCCGGTTGGGAAGCCAGAGAGCACCAGGTTCTGAGAAAGGAGTGTTTCCAGAAAGGCACCCAGGCACACACACATTCCTGGGAAAGAGCAGCCTTGTCTGCCTGCCCAGCCAGGGATCCGGCATCCCTCCTCACTTCCCCGGCCTCTGTCCCCAAACCAGGAAATACTGTCACCCCACTTACCCCCACATCAGGCAGTGGGGAGGCCAGATCCTCGCCTCACTGCCCAGGGTCGGGTCAGGGGCAGTAGGGAATCTAAGACCTTGCTGAAGTCACAAGAGTGCCAAGGGGTGGTGGGAGGCAGGGGAGGGGGAAACAAGAAGGGTGTAGCATGGGGTGGCGCTCAGACACATTGCCTCCTGGTTCAGAGTCCATATGTTACATGGGACTGCCCCATCTGGGGTTGGCTGAGCTGGGAAGGGGTGCTGAGACCCAGAGTAGGATGTGGCCTGCCACCTGCAGGCTTTTGGGAGGCCCTGTGGGTCCCCCAAGCATGTGGCATCTGGCCAGGAGGTCACTCACTGTTCCCTGAAGCTGTCCAGGGTCGGGGTATGGGAGGGAAGCTTCCATGATGACCTCTGAGTCCCCTTAGAGTTGACCTGGCACCAGTTATGTGTTCCAGGATTCTTAGTGAGTGTAGACTTCCGGCTCCCATGTGCCCCCCCCCCCCCCCCACCGGCTGGGTCTGGGCCAGGAGAGCAGTTCTGCTGCAGTGGGAGGGGGGAGAGGAGGGCGGCTGCGGTCAGGAGCCTGAGTCCTCGCCTCACTGTACAGACATTTCTCAGAACTTGCCAGTTCACCCCAATGTGAAGCCACACTGGAGGGTGCCTTACCAAGAACTTGAGAGGACGTGGCCTGTGGCAGGGAGTGGGGAGAATGGGTACACGGGAGGGATCGTGGCCCCTGCCTTTTCTCCATCCACTGAAGGGTGGTTTCTGATAATGGGTTCTGAAGTCTGAAAGGTGAAATTGTAGGTGTGTGAGCCAACAAGTGGGGTTTTCCCTGGGGGCGGGCAGGTGGCTCGGTCCCGGCCCGTAGCGGGTATGGTGAGAAATCCCAGGCTGTGGGTGGGAGCCGCTCCTGCCCAGCCTGGGAAGTGAGGTTCTGTGGGGTGTGGGAGGCTCAGTGCCTTTTCTGTAATTGGCTTGAGGGAGGCAATGCCACCGTCCTGGGGATGCCCCACCAGGGACCTGACCTTAGCAGAAGGTGCTCATGGCACTGAGGTCCCGCTGGCACGCGGGCCAGCCTCTTGAGGGTGTGTGGAGGCCTGTGGAGGCAGGGGCTCCAGGCAGAGCCGCACACGGCCTGCTCCCCTCCTTCCTGCGCGCCCCTCTGCCCTCACCCCACTCTGTCCTCAGTCTTCCCTTGTTCACCTGGAAAAGGTGCCTGGGCCTGTGACCAGCTTGGCTTCGGCCTCCCCCAAGGAGCCACCAGCTTCACACTGAGGGAGGCTCTTCACTGGGTGAGGAAGAGTTTCTGGACTTCTTAGGGGTGGTCTCCCCCCACCCCCAACCCCCGGCCGTTCCACAGCCAAGATGATCCTCCTGTGGTCTGGAGTGTGAGAGAGAGGCAAGGGGCGCTGGTGGCAGTGGGGACAGTCTCTCAGCTTCACCCTCTGCCCAGGTTGGCCATTTACATATGTGGTGTGTGTCTCTGAGGTGGGGTGTCTGTGAGGTGGCTAGCCAGTGTGGTTGGCTAAGGGGTCATTCTCCAGCCAGAGTAAGTGTGTCTGTGGCCAGGAAACCAACCTCACATGCCTGACGAGTCTCAGCCAGCCCACCAGCCACTCAGTACATGGCCTCGCCACGGAGACCACAGGCGCTCGGCCACAGCCCTAGCGCTGTGCCAGTCCCAGCGCTGTGGGCCAGCTGGCTGCCAGTGCCCCGGGTCTCGGCAGCGCTCGGTACAGGCCGCTGGGGTGCGTGAGGGCCGGATCAGGTCACCTCACACCTAAGCAGTCGCTCGATGGGTGTTCGGGTTCAGAACAGGACAGGTTGGGCCTGCTGGCCAGTTCCACCTGCCGTGGACTTGCTACCCTGGGGACAGGTGAGCTCTGCTCCTGGGGTTGGGGTACCCAGCAGGGTGAAATGCTTCGGACACTCAGCCTGGGGAATGCATGTGGAGAGTGGGTCTGAGTGATCTGGAGCCCTCTGCTCCGTGGGGGCCTGCTGTGACTTTGGGGGCTTGGGGGTACCTGGGGTCTGAGACTCTGAAGGCAGCTTTCCACGGCCACGAAGAGTTGGTCCAGCACTAGGGAAGTAGCCAGTAGGCCCCTCTGTGACCCACGTCCTGCTGGTGCGGGACACACCTCGATCATTCGTGTCCTGGTCTCGCCGTCCTGGAGCCTGCAGTCTGGGGGGAAAGGCAAACCGCATTCTAGACCTTAGACTCCCAAGAAAGAGCCTGGCGGGGGCATTGAGGAAGTCTTCCTGGGGGAGGTGGACTTTTTCCAGAGGAGGGAAGCACCCACTTGCTGACCTCTCCCCCCGTTCCCTGAGACCCCAGGAGCCCCTCACCCAAAAGGATGCCTTTGGGACAGACCACGTTGCCCTTCCCCTGCTCCACACCTGGCTCCTTGGGGCCCCCGCTGTGCTGGGTAGAAGCACTTGGCTGTTGGGCCGCAGCAGCCCTCCACCCTCACCGCCACCCTGTCTTGGCCTCCATGCACAGTCCCTGCAGGTGGCAGATGGGTGGGCGAGACTTGAAACCCTGTTGTTTCCAGAGTGACATTGTCTGAAAGTGTCTCCGTGCTGCCAAGGCGGGTGCAGCCAGGTCCCTCCCATCCTGCCATGCCCCCAATGCCACAGTCCCCCCAGAACTCAGGCAGGACTGTGTTCTCACCACCTCGCCCCGCACGGAGGAATTCCATGTCCCTTCGGCCTAGGAGCCTCCCTGGTGCCTCCCGAGCTCAGCTCTGTGAGGAAGCTGGGCACCCGGCCCTCGATAATTCCACCATGAGCTGCAGACCAGGCTCTAGGTGAGACCCTGGTGCCTGGGCCTGAGTTTCCTCAGGGACCAGTTGTGAGGACCCAACGGACTGATGTAGGGCGGGCTCTGGAAGCAGGGCCAGGCCCAGAGGGAGTGGCCAGGGACCAGCCAGCATGGTTCTTAGCATCGTCTTGAGCACGAACAGGTGGCTCCCTGTGAAGGGCTTAGCTGGGGCCTGTTGAACACACCGTGTACCGCGTTCGTGAACCGAATTCCGAAGCACCAGGTACTTCACGGAGGTGGTTTGGGTTACTCCCCACCACACCCCGATGAGGTGAGTCATTCTCAGCTGTGCTCACGTTTACAGATGGAGAAACGGAGGCAGAGCGACCTGCCCATGCTTCCAGCAGACATGAAGTTCAGTGTGGCTGTAGCCACGCCCCCTTCTCCATTCACTCAGAGGCTAACTGTGCTTTGGTCTCTGTGCCAAAACCCCTAGGGGCCAGGTTGGCACCTGCTCTGATCCAGACCTCTCTGCCTCGCAGGAGCTGGTTGACTGGGTGCTGGAGGAGGTGACCCAGAAGCCCCATGTGGTGGAAGCCCAAGGAGGCCCCCTCGTCCTGGACGTGGGCTGTGGATCGGGAGCTATCTCTCTCAGCCTGCTGAGCCGGCTGCCCCAGGTGTGCTTCCTCAGCATCCCTCCACCCACCCGGGCTGACTGACTGGTAGACACTGTCCCTGCTCCCCTGCCTCTGCCAGAAGCGCTAGAGAGGAAGCTACCAGACTTAGGAGGACAGGGCTGCCCCATCCCACCATGGTCACAGCCTCTACCTCCATCCCCTTCTGTCTGGCCAGACCCTGGACGCAGAGAGGGGAAAGGTGTGGGTATTTTCTTCTTATTCTGACAGGGGGTTGGTGGAGGGCTTTGGTCCCCAGGCCTGGCCTTCTTGGCACCTGCCTCCTACATACCCTTCATTTGTTCTTGGGGCAGAGCCGAGTCCTTGCTGTGGATAAGGGAGAAGCCGCCATCTCCCTGACCCGTGAGAATGCTCAGAGGTACGCTGACTGGGGACCAGTGGGTCAGGGCGGGGGGAGTCTGATTTGCACCTAATCTCAGCCCCTGTTCAGGTAACACACCTACCGATATCCACTCCCCAAAACGGTGAGGTGCTGGGGGCAGCCTGGCATGGCTCCGATAGGGATATAAATGGATGGGGCACCAGGTATCCTACAGCCCAGGAGGGGTTTATCCTCCTAGGCCTTACAGCTAAGGGTAGGAATTTGCCCCCTGTGCTCACATCCCCTTCCCACCTCTCTAGGCTTCAGTTGCAGGACAGGATTCGGATCGTCCCCCTCGATGTGACCTTAGGTACTTCCTCACCCGTCTTCCCTGGGGTGGGGATCCCGGGGACAGGTGCTGCTGGGTGGATGAGGCACTCCGCCTAGCTAGAGGGAGGGCTTCCCAGCATTGTTCTCTCTCACACACACACGCAGGCATACACACATACATGCACACACTTGCACGCACATAAGGGGTATCTCAGACCAATCCTTGCTGAGGACAGGCGAGTCCCTGTTGCTCCCTGGGCTGACCTGACTCATGAGGGGACCAGCCCTAGGGTTTTTCTTATCTTTTAAATCCCCCTTAACTAATGAGTTATCTAGGGCTTGTTGTCAGGAGATAAGCAGAAGCTCAAGAGAAAGCCTTTCGGATCAAAATCCTTGAGTGCTCCTCTGTCCCTGCCTAACCCAGGCACAGCTGGGGCACCCTGGGCACTAATCTGCAAATCTGGTTTATCGGGTGCAGATAGGCCCAAGGCGTGGAGTGGGGAGGGGGAGACCCAAGGGACAGGGTGGTGGGTGGAGCTGCCACTCTTTACGTCCAGTTCTCTGCTGTGTGTCCTGTGATCACAGAGGGCAGCTGGACGCACCTTCTGCCCTGGGGCCCCGTGGACCTGGTCGTCAGCAACCCTCCCTACATTTTCCGTCAGGACATGGAACAGCTGGCCCCTGAGATCCAAAGGTGCGGGGTGGGGTGGGACACAGAGCCAGGCTGACAAGGCCTAGTGGGATGGGTCCGGAGGGATGGAGGAGGGTAGGGGGCTGGAAGGGTACTGGTGTTGGAAGAGAGCTCACTCTAGAGACCACGGACCTGCTTGGGTTTGGCTTCTGCCTTCCCACTTAAGACAACTGGACACCTGAGCCTCCCTGAGCCTCCATTTCCTGCCTCTGAAGGAGCGGTTGAGCAGCTTTGCAGGGCTGTGGGAGGGCTCAGTGATGACGGTGCAGGATGTCACACACAGGGCAGAATACGAGGAAGGTGCTCAGGTGGGTGCGTCATCTGCGGAAGACAGAGGCTCAGAAAGGAAGTACCTTGTCCAGGGTCACAGGGGGGTTTCGCAGAAAAGCTGGGACCAGGACTCTATTCCAGGCTTTGCATTGAGCCATCCGACTCTCAAATGGGCCGAGAACCTGGGGTATCCCAAGAGCCTCTAGACGAGGCAGTGGCAGTGTGGGTCAGAGTGCTGGCTCCCCTTTCCAGGCTCCCGGGTGGTCAGGACCAGCTCCAGGCCCCCCCAAACCAAGACTAGGAAGAGCATCATGTGGGGAGACAGACCATGGGGGCCGTCAGGCAGTGGGATTCACGGGCACACGTGGCACTGCCTGGTGTGTGCTGCCTGCAGGGTTCGGGGAGTCGGAGCTGCCGTCATCTGGGAGCCCCCTCCTCTGGGTCCGCAGACTTTCCTCTCAGCCCAGGGTGTAGGTTCACGGGGTCCCCTTCGTGAAGGCTCTGCTCAGCTCTTCCACACTTTTCAGACACCCCCTGTCCCAGGCTCTCACCTCCGCTGCTTCCCCTTCAGCTATGAAGACCCAGCAGCCCTGGATGGCGGGGAGAAGGGCATGGACATCATTATACACGTCCTGGCCCTGGCCTCTCGACTCCTGAAGGACCCTGGGTATGGACAGGACGGGTCCCTTGGCTCAGGCCCCAGCCGCGTGTACTGGGCCTGCCCTGGCAGTCATCCTGCCCTCAGCCCTGCCCAGTTATGCTGACCCATTTCTTCCCCGTGTAGAAGCCTCTTCTTAGAAGTGGACCCGAGACACCCGGAGCTCATTGGCAACTGGCTTCAGAGCCGGCCTGACCTGTCCCTTGATCTTGTGGCCGTGCGCAGGGACTTCTGTGGGAGGTGAGACTCTACTGTCCCCCAGCTCCCACAGCCACACTGGTCCTTCCTCTGGCCCGTCACAGCTCTGGCTTGGGGACAGTGCCGTTCCCACTCCCTGCTCACTCCCTGCGGCCCAGGCAGTGACTGGCTCCTTGTTCCTGTCTCCTTAGGCCCAGGTTCCTGCATGTACGGAGGTCTGGGCCACAGGCTGGCTGCCCCGTGGCTGCCTGGCCAGGCCCCCAGCCTGCCAGACTGCCTGGGTAGCTCTTCCTGGAATGGTCCTTGGAGAGAGGGACGGGGCCTTCCACGCCCCGATGCTTGGCATTTCCCATGGCCCTGGGGTTCCCCATGCCCTACATTTCTAGGAGACTTGGGGGCAAAAGGAAGGATAGGGGTATCCTTCCTGGGGCAGCAACGGAGCAAGGGCACCCACAGCCCAGCTCGAGAGCTGAGCAGACCGCGGTCCCCAGGCTGGCTCCGTCGCCCCAGCGGCCCGTGCCAGTCACTCAGAGTCTGGGCGGAACAGCTCTGGGAGTTGCAAGATTTGGCGAATAAAGTGTCAAGAGACTCACAAGTGGTGACCTAATGTTTTGTTCCCATGATTTCTGGGTCCTCTGACCCCTTGCCCCTCAGCAGTGTGGCATGGGAGGGCAGTGTGGAGGGAGGTACACAGGTGCTCCTGACCTTGGATGCCAGGGGCTGGGCACTGAGCATTCTCTCTCGAGGGCTGACTCAGCCCCCCAGCGCCCTGGGTACACTCCACACACTTCCCTGGAGACTCCAGGTGTGACCCCACCCCAGCTCTGATGGGTGCAGACTCGTGGCTGCCAGGAGGCCTGAAGGTCCAGTCCTTCTGTCCACAGTGACAGGAAACCTCCAGGTTGGCAGGTGCCTGCAGCAGGGTGGGTTCAGGGGAACATGGTAGACCAGCTGGCTCATTCTGCTCCCAGGAACTGCAAGGGCCTGACCTGGTGGTGCTGTGACCAGAGGCGGTGTGGCAGCATTCTCTGCTGGAGTCAGGATGCTGGATTCTGGGAGTATGCCTGGCAGCAGGACTTTGAGTGGCAACTTTCCTACAGGAAGCTGACTTCTGGTTCCAGAGCCAGAGCCTCCTCTTGCTCTGTCAGCCAGATGCCTGCCCCTTGGGCAGGGACTTCCCGAGAGAAGATGTCTGCCTGAGGTCCCTTGGGGGGAGGTGGTCAAACGGAGACAGGAAGTTAGGTCCCTGCCTTTGGGGAGTCTGTATTGTTGGGGTCTTACCTACCCTGAGTGACTCCCCCGCTGTGGCTGGGGGTTCACTTTTGCCTTAGCAGAGGTCACACTGCAGTTCCCAGGGTCCTGGTGTCCGGCCCCTTGACATGGTCCAGCTGCATGGACTCCAAGTTGCTCCTGGCTTCCCGTGAGGAGCCAGGGACTCCACCTCACGGCTGCTCCAGAAGGAACCTGGGAGGGCTGAGTGGGGCACAGCCAGAGCGAGGCTTCAGCTTTCTGGGCCCTGTGTCCTCGCTGACCTTTACCTGCCAGGGTCCCCATCGGGTCCCCATCGGCACTGCCTGTCCTCTCCTGTCTGTGCCACATCTCAGGGCAGCTTCCCTGACCGGCGGTCTTGTCCCGCAGCCGGGCCATACCTGAGCCAGCGCTGGCTTCTGATGCCCTCACCCTCCTGGCCTCAGGCCCACCACTGGGGGGAGGCTTGGCAAGCATGGCACCCCAAGAGAGCACGATGATGGAGAGTGACAGCATAGGGACAGCTGAGGTCACCGAAGGAGGAGCCACCCTTGGGGACAACATCCTTCCCAGAAAACTGCAAGGCTGGGCTCCCTTGGGAAACAGGTCCAGGCCAAGTAGACTGGTGGGGCAGGGCCTACAGCCTGCAACCACTGACTTGATGCGGCCTTGGACACTGAGCTCCCATGTTGGAGCCGCACCAGCCTGGGTGCAATCCTGGCCTCTGATCCTCACCAGGAGTCAACCTTGGGCAGATCAATTCCAAGCCTGAGAAATGGGACCACGTGCTTTGTCTTATAGGATGGTTGTGAGGAGCCTCTGGGATGCACCTTTCGTGGGGCATTGTGTTTTCATTGCACGATCTGGAGGGCAGACAGAGGGAGGGTCCTGTACCCTCAGGCACCTGTTGGTGTTGGGCACCGACACAGGGCAGGCAGAGACACGGAAGGAGGTGCGGCAGGGATTTTATTCTTGGGTTCTTGACTTCTCCGCCCTCTGGAGATGGAGCCACCAAGAGGCTGGTAGCCTGGCAGCCAGGTCTCCCATCAGCCCCTACTCTCCCTCCTCACTAGGGCCCGAGTGCCCCCAGGTCCCAGCCAGAAAAGCCAGTGGCCCCAGCCCAGGGAAAGCCAGGTTTCCTGCCCTATCTCCTCCCCCCTTCCTAAGGCCAGAGCCAGGGCCAGTTGCTTCCTTTAGGCGGAGCAGCTGTAGGGGGAACAGCAGGAGGTCGTGGGCTGATGGTGGCCCCTGAGGCCTTGAGGGACATGCCTGCTGCCCCACCCAGCCTCCTTCAGCCAAAGCCCCAGGTGTGGGCAGAGGGCATAGGAGCCTGACGGGTGTGCTCTGGGAGAACAGTTTCATCCTCTTCTGACAGCTGAGGGAACCAAGACTGCTCACAGTGGGATGTTTTCAGCTGCCCGTGGGTTTCTCCATGGGACGCGTCTAGCTGCTTTATTGAAATGTGCCCACAGACCCTTTTTGCTCTCCCCCACCCCCACCTGGGCCTGGGCCATTAACTTCCTAATCCCTGCACGAAAGCTTGTCTGGCTCCCTGTGACTGCAGTGGTGTCGGCGTCCTGCAGAAGCCAGTCTGAAGAGGGGGAGGATGGCTATGGGAAGGCCTGGGGATCCCTTCCAAGGGCCCTCCGCGCTCTGAGCAAGCTTCCAACAGAACGAAGGCCCACCCTGCTGCCGGGCTCTGAGGACGGCTTCAGCCTCTGCAGGCCTGTGTGTCCATCCTGTCCACGTGTGGATTCTTCTCTCCACTGCCCTGCCCTCCAGCCTCCCTGCAGAGCTCTTCCCCTGCCACCCCCCAGCCCAGCCAGCGCATGTCAGGGGTGCCCTTGCCCACCACTGCCACCCGAGTCATCCTCTCCTTCCAGCTCCTCTCCCGCCTCCCCTGGAACGCGCACCCTGACCTCTGCCCGCCCCCCAGCTCCTCGCCCGAACTTCTGCAGCACCAGTGACATTCCGCCCTTACTTTGGAAACCTTTCTGCCTCATCTCTGGGGCTCCCTGTGGGCCCGGCACCCCCCAGGCTCAGTGTGCATCACACCAGTGAGCTGGTAGCGTGTTTTCTAGCCGAGCTGGAGCTTTCCCTGTGCTCGCAGCTGACTGACGGCCCCGCTCCAATCCCGTCAGCAGCGGGAGGAAGCACAGGCCCGGCCTCCCCCCGAGCCAGGCAGCTGCTCGAGCTGAGCCACGGCCACTTCCAGGGATCAAGTGCACCTGACCTCTGCACGGCGGCCTCGCCAGGAGTACAGGCTGTCCTTGGCGACCGCAGGGGTAGGCACCAGGTTTCCTGGAGCTCTGGGCCCCAGCCAGCCTCCAGCCAGCCTATTGGCCAGAACAGTGGTCTGATCACCCCTGTGACCCCTCAGTCCTGGACAAGCCCTCTGAATGGGGCTTGGGACTGGAAATCCTACTGCCCCCGTTGTAGGCAGAACAATGGCCCCAAAGATGCCCACATTCTAATCCCCCAAACCTCTGAATATGTTACTTCACATGGCGAAAGGATCTTGAGGTGGGAGATGACCTTGGGTTGTTCGAGTGGGCTCAGGGTACGCAGGGGCCCGTGAGGGAGGCAGGAGCGTCGGGGTGAGGGGAGGAGATGTGAGGTGGAAGCAGAGGTCAGCGATGCGCTTGCTGGAGGAAGGGCCGCGGGCGGAGGAGTGCAGACAGCCTCCCCGGAGCCTCAGGACAGAATGCAGCCCTGCCCGCACCTCGACTTCCAAGCCGACCTCTAGAACTGTGAGAGAATAAATGTGTGTTGTTCTCAGCCACGGGATCCGTGGTGACTTGGTACAGCAGCCGTAGGAAACTGATACCGACTGGCACCAAAATGCAGCCCTGCTGTGGCAAATACCAGAAAATGGAAGTGGCTTTGGAGTGGGACTTGGGAATGGGCAGAGGATGGAAGAGTTTTGAGGTACATGATAGACTGGCTTGAAACCTCCTCCTCTGAGAGGCAAGATGGTGTGGGGGTGGGGAACCCTCTGAAATCCAGAAACCTGAGCTGCCAGGCCCTCTACCCAAACTTCTGACATGTAGTAGAACTGGCCAATTCTTGGAGTGAGGTGACCAGCCGGCTGCCCAGGGTGGGCCCCGGAGAGGCCGGCTGGGCACTGGGAGAGGGTGGGGAATGGGACGCCATTCATCTGCAGTGGCCTGGGGGCCACCCAGACCTTCAGAGAATCTCAGAGACCAGATCCAAGCCTGGTCCCGGCCCGCATGGAGTCACGTGGCTGGCCCAACACCCCTTTGAGTGTGAGGATGACCAGGGTGTAAGGGTGACACTCTGGGTTGCAGGTGGCATGTCTGTGAAATGCGCACAGCAGCCCCCGACTCAGCGGACGGATCTGGCCCCTCCATGTAAGCTGCGGAGGGCTCGGCTCCTTCCAGCCATCAGGCAGTGCCCAGCCCGCTACAGGCCTGGACTGGGCCGTGTGGCTGGGCTGGAACTGGGTCAGTCCTAGGATTCTCAGCCTCGTGGTCCCCAAAGTTGAAGTGGCCAACTGGAACCTTTGACCTTGCCCCATCCAGGCTGGGACCAGGACCAATCCAGATGAGGGAGGTCTCAGGGGTTTGAGTGTGGGACTCGCTCAGGACACCACAGAGGCAGTGTCAGGGTTTCTGGAGATTCAGATGTGACCAAGTAGGGACATAGCCCAGAGGCAGCCTGGAGGCAGCTGGGAAGGCCGCCTCCCAGGCTTGAGCGCTGTCAACAGCGGTAACCAGGCACCTCCACGTGTAAGCGGGTGCCAGCTGCCACACACTTTGCATAAACCCTTCTGTCTGCACGTCAGGGACGCCTTCCTTGGCCCACTAGACAGATGAAGAGACCGAGGCTTTACTGGCCCAACGTCACACAACCAGGAAGTGGCCGTGCTGGGGTTTGGGCCCCATCCCCTGACATCCCAGCTGGAAGGGGATGAGCAAGCCCCGAGGCTGACTGCAGCCCAGGGCCTCAGTTCCCAGAGGGCCCCAACACCCAGGCGCGCACCCCCAGAGCCCCCAGAGCTGACATGGCTTCCGGGGCAAAGGGGAAAGTGGTGACATGGAAGGCACCAGGCGAGGAGTGAGCTTCCTCCCCTTCCAGCTGCCCTGGGTGCCAAACTTTCACACCCGCAGCAGAGGAGCCTGGCAGGGAGCCCTGGGGGGCAGGGGGAGGGGGAGGCAGAGCGGCTGCTGCTGGAAGGAGGCTCTGCTGAACCCCGGATGTGGGGTGGACTGACAGACACCAGCTCCAGTTCCCAGCCGACAGGTGAGTGAGGAGGGTGAGTCCATCTCAGCATAAGGGTCTATGAAGCCTGCCACGTCTTGTCC